TCAATATATATTAATGCCCATTTAACGTTATCTCTTAAAATAATCTGTAGCAACTTTAAGAGCCATCGCTTCTACTTGATATATATTTCCACCACTTAGTATTCTCGGTATTTAATTCTATGTACCATATATTTCAAATCGCAACTTTCAAACTAAGTATGAAGGCATCCATATATGTATATGCTATTTTAGTATATATATCAGAAGATTATTTTTGTCACTTTTCTCATTTCGCTGTATCGTATCTAAATAGCTTAAATTTTATATTTAAGAATATATTAAATATGTGCCTAAAAATATTAGATATTTTTGGGACTTTCTTCACATTACTAGAGTGTTTGGGGTATGGTTTCTATTGCATTTTATTTACTAATTTATGAAATTAATTTATATAAAGTTTGGTTAAAAGGAGTTTAGCAAACACATCACAAAAATAACATATGGTATATAGTCTTTATTATTCAGACAGCTGTAAGTTACAGCTCATACGTGCGCCAATATAGTTTGAAATTGAATAGGTTAACCGATTAAAAATTGTACCAGGTAGAAAACAGGTACTGATTTTACTTTTACTTTATTTGCAAAACGATTGTATTGATTTAAAAATTTGATTAGCATTTTGTGTAAATATATTAAAATTTAATCAATTTAAAAATTAATTAATTTTTAAACACTTTTATTAACAAGTAAATTGTAATTGTTATGGTATGAAAATTCCTTTATTCTATTTTAAGCTTATTTAACATTTTATACAAAAATAATATATTAATATTTACAGTGCTTAAAATTTGAATTTTTATTTAATTTATTCCATACACAAGTACTTATATTTCATTATATGTAAGTTAAGATTATTTTATAATCCGAAAATTCTTAATATCAAACGGTTTTGTATAATAAAGCTAGTTATTTTGAAGAATTCTATATATCCTATTGAACAAATAATTTCATCTCTATATTTCCTTCTCCTTCTCTCTCTTTGACTGATACTAAGCTGATTATTATAAAAAAATATTGAATATTATTTGCAGGGTATTAAATTATTTTGGTTGACTAAGTTTTTTCGTAGCCATTTATTTATTCTGCATTAAAAATTTATTTGTATTGAACATGTTGACTTTTTTCTATGTTATAATAAAAATTATGAGTACCTGACGCCTAATCAATGGAACCGAAGCACTCGGAACCAGAGTACGACAACTTTCTACCATAAGCAATCAGTTTCATTCCGCTTTGATATTAGACGTTTCATATTAATTTTTGCTATCTACTATAGAGAAATCGTAGTTTGCTAATCGAAGTGTTTACCATTTTACAATTTGTCAGTTTTTATAAATTTATTAGTTATATCTTTTATTTGCATTTTACAATTATTTAAATGCACTTCAGCTAAACACACGTGTGACAATTAATTAAGTGTCTACATTTATTTAAAAAAAAAACAGTTTTATGGAAGCCGGTTTCGGACTCAAGTGCAAAATTTAACTTAAAGTAGGCACCTATTTTTTTACTATAAATAAGTGTTTATTAAGTGTTTTATCACAATACATATTTCTTTTAATAGATAAATTATTTAGCAGATCAGGTGTTTTGCAATTATGTACATTATTTGTTTTTTTAAGTGTGGTTGATAAATAAATCAAGTTTAGTGAGATGAAGATAACTATCTAAAACAAATTTTATTTGTTTCAATTTTAAATTTAAATTTTTATACAACAAAAAACAAAAAAAAATGTTTTGTGTTTTATAATTAATTTTATAATGCAAAGATGATACGAAAATATTATATACCTATGTCTTTATAGCATCTGATAATTGCAATAAGTTTAATATTGCCATATTGATTTAATACTAATGGATTCCTACCATTACCAATTAATATTAATTCTTAAAATAAATTTAAGTTCCGATTTGAAATTCCGATGAATAAAATGCTAGTTTAATAGTTATATCACATATCAGACAAATCATATAGATGTCCTCTGCTAAACAAGAAAACTAGTAAATTGTCTGTGGTTAAACCATAAATAAAATTAAGATAGATGAGACCGTGAAATAAGTAAGCGAGATCTGACAGAAGAAGTCAGCTTAAGTATTCTTTCCAATAATGTTCTTAAAGAGTGCCATTGATTTTAAATCTTAGCAGATTTAATAAATATCTTTAATGTTACATATTCATTTGTAACACATAATAATATTTACATAACTTTTTTTTTATAATAGAATTTTTGCCATCTATGCTCTGACCAGAAGCATCGCCAATACATATAACATTTTTGATTATAAAATATTTTTTTTTTAATTTTATTTTAACCGTGTATTTGTATTTAAATTGTAATATTTCTTCCCAGAATTGGGATAAAAATAATAATAATAATATCATAATATTATAATATAATAACAATTATAATAATAAAAATAGAAATAAAAATATTAATTTTATGTAATAAATTCAATGAACTCAGTTTCTTATTAATGAATGGTACAAACAAAAATTTCAAATCCTGAAATTTTATTAATCTTATTAAAAAATAATTTTCTGAATATTGTGTGACAAATATTGATTTTTATTAATAACTGTGACATGAACGCTTTTCCGTTTTGTTGTTTTAGTCTACGTTTTTTTCAATCAAATATTTATTTATTTGTGAGTTAACATTAAAATAAATTTTAAAGGTAACTAAAAGAAAGAAGGATTTGGACTATTAGGTTATTAGCCCTTTAATTAAGTGTATTTTGAACGACTCTTCAGATTTGTACTGTACATATAATACAGCAAATCTTTTGCAACCTAAGAATGATAGATAAAAAATTTATGCTCCTCTTTACTTTAAATTATTCCTATCAAAATGTATATATCTCCATCAATACACTATACATTTAACAATAACAACTTATTATAATTAAAAGCAGAAATACGCTTAAATTATTAAGTAGTCATATCCTCAAGATTAGCTATTATTTAAAAATTTTAGTTTATTAATTAATAAATAAAATGGCATATATAATATATGTCAGAAATATCATTTAAAAGCTTAAGTTGTCATAGCTTTAAGATCAAGTTTTA